AGCTCACCACTTTTTTCCTCGCTCATTGTGTGTAGGTCTGTTGACAGTGCTGGTGCTGCTGTTTGCATTGCTGGATTTTTGTGCACAGCTCCACTTCTGGGGGGGCTGTGAATGCTGGAGTTGGGGGCTGGGCATAGAGGGGAATGAGGAGCCACAGCCGTGTCACACTTTTTGTTTTCTTTCTCAATCAGCTCCAGGTAGCTGGCTGCTCAAGCAGAATCTGCACGTTCTGCAGAAACGCATTGTCTTACTTACTTTTCTCTTGTTGTTGAGACAAAATACCTGATGCCCAAAGTGAAGCAAGGAAGGTTTATTTCCTACAGTTTTAGGGGTTTCAGTTGTACTCAGTTGGCTCCAAGTGGCAAGGTGGTGTGGCAAGGCATCTGTCCATGGCCACCACAAACAGCAAGTGCCAGCAGAGCAAAAGAGGAAAGACAGGCCTTCTTCCTGCCCTTACACCGCATGTCAGCCCCACCCCTGGGCGGGTGCAGCACTCACACCTCCAGTCCCAGCACTAGACAAGAAACCGATCACGAACGCTAGATTCAACCATGTCCATGATTGCATGAAGCTTGGGGAGGGCCATCTGAATACAACCCATAAGTACTGATGTCCTTCTCCATCGAGTTTTCACTAGTGTTGAAAATGTCCGAGAAGCGGCACCTGGCTTTGGCCCCCACTAACTCTGTAGGCTGGGCTGGGGCTCCGAGGGCACCAGTCCCCTAAGCCCTTGCCACGGGCCTCTGGTTTGCTTTTCTTAGTATGCAAAATGTTTACATGGTTCAAAAGTCAAAAGTAAAAAAAAACCCTGAGGAATGTTACTTCCATCTCTCAATTTCTGTCTTGCTTTTCCTTTTCTTTGGATAAACATTAATGTAGTGCATATGTATTTTTAGTTCAGTTTCTCACTTATTTCTGATATTTTTGCAGCTAATTGCCTGGGTGAATCAGATGAGGGTGCTTGTGTGTTATTTTACAGTATGACTGTGTACCTTCAGGGTGAATGCCTAGGAATGGTCTTGCAGGGGCAGAGACGTGTGCATGTACTGCTTTGGTAGCTGTTGCTGGTTTCTCTCCGTAGGCTGCACCCCTTGCAATCTCTCTTGGAGCCTAGAAGAGCAGCAAGCTGTCTCGACAATGGCGAGCGCTACCACACTTGAATTTTTGCTCATCTGAAAAGAAAAAAAAGTTATTTTAGCATAGGATTTTGTTTTGTTTTTGTCTTTTTGAGACAGTTCTCACTATGCAGTTCAGGCTGGATTGAGTTCACTTTGTGGCCCAGGCTGGTCTTGAACTCGAAACCGTCCACCTAGCTCGGCCCCCTGAGTGCTGGTATTCCAGGTGTCACCACCGCGCCCGGCTGGTATGATTTTGATGTCCAGTGTTTTCATTTTGAGTGAAGCAGTCTTTTACATATGATGGGTGATTTTAAAATGTGAACATTTAAATCAGGGAGATTTATTATAGTAAAAGTTACATATCTGTGGGTCCCCTCAAAAAAATGCTCCTCCTCTCTGTGAACACACCCCATCATTCTTGCCATTTTCTGAGGTGGTTTTGAAACCCTTTTCCCTGGGTGTCTTTAGCTGTGCCGTCACGACTGCCTCAGTGTCCAGAATTGATTCCAAACATTTCCCTTTGGTGGTCATTTTGACTTTGAAGAGCCAGAAGTCCCACGATGCCAGATCTGGTGAGGAGCATGAGGCCGCACTGTGTTATTTCTACCGAGCCTGCCTTTCAGCTGGGTGGCCCTTGGGAGCAGCACTCACCATATTGTTGGTCACAATTTAGACACGAATGAGGACTTGTACAGATCTGTGTCAGAAAGTGGTGAGAACGATAGGAGAGTACTCAAAAGCGAGGAGCGTATTTCTCTCCAGGGGTTAATGGCTGTGTCTTACTGTAATGCATTTCAGAATTTAAATATTTGCTGGATATTTTGACCACCACTTATACCATTGGTATACCTTTTGGCATGGTCTTTCTGTCCATGTCTGTTATCCATGTTCCTCTTCTGACTTTTCATCTGTTTTTCTCTCAACTTTTTAAGGAATTCTTTATAATTTAGCGTGATTAGTACTTTATAGGTTGTAAAATTTTCTTCCGTTTTTTCCTGTGTCTCATGATACAGTCTCTTTTTATAACCACCATATAGTTAACTGAAGAACATGGTTATTTTTAAGAAACCAGTTAATAATTTTCTTGTAAGCATCAATGAAATCCAGAACTCACCAACTAAATATAAACACCAGGAACCATCTTACAAAGACAGACATAGCCAGTATACCTATAAAGCATATTCCTGGTACAAAACTAGGGTAACTAAGAAGTTGCATAACTGGATTAAAAGTCAGAATATTTTAGCAGCAGCCTGGAAATATGGTCTAAATATACAAAGTAACATTTAGTAGGAATAATGTTTTGTTCTTAGTCATAAAAATATTAATTCCGTATGTTGGAGATTAGGTACATCTGCTTTCACAGAAGTTCTTGAATATATCAGCTTTGGGTTTCAGTTGGCTGCACTCTCACAGAGGCTCAGGAGAGTGATATAATCGCTATGGGAAAGTTTACTTGTAGAATAAATTTTGGGAATCGTCCTGATGATGGAGGAAATTGTCCCTTCACACTCGACCCTGACCAGACCACATCCAGAGGACCAGATACCAAGAGAGTTGTAGATATTTGTGACCGAGCGCAAGCTGAGAGCTCATGCGGGGCAGGGCAGTGGTGCTGTGACACAACCAGGAGCTGGGAGGCAGGTGGTTCTGACAGCATCAGGAGCTGTGACTGCAACACAGGCTCATTGCACAGGGACCACTTCCTCTGGCACTCAGGGCTGCTGCAAGGGGTGGCTGCCTTCTGACCCTGCACTGCCCACTGACCCGCAGTGCTTGGGCAGGGAGCCAGGTCTCCCAGGAGGGCTCCTGGCCCACCCGCTGCGGTGTGCAGGTGGCTCGGCTTGTGTTCCTGGGGTCTGGCTCGCAGGAAGCTGTCTTGCCTTCCTTCCTGATATCTTCTGTTTGTGGAGAACAAGAGCAGGTGGGAATAACGGTCTGTGGGATTTTTTGGCTAATTAAAGTAGACGAAAAGTTTTGGAGTAACATTCATCTGTAGGATTTTTATGTAAAAAATATGTCAACCTTGATTATGAGCCAAGATTTTCAGCCAGTTTCCCGGGAGTAGGGATTCTGCCCTCTATGCGGTGTGATTGAAAAATACTTTTAATTTTTAAAAAAATTTGTTACAGTATAAGACACATTGTGTACTGACTTCCACAGCACATGGACTAAAAGACACATCGCCATGAATCCCCCTCACACCTGTCCCATGCTTGCCGCTTTCCGAAGTAGTCCTGGACGTCCTTTGATGTGAGTGTCGTAGGCTACGCTCCCATGCGTGTCTCCGAATTGATCATGACCGTGTTTGTCTTCCATGGTCCTTTTGACTTAGAGGGAAGGTCACAAACCTCATGGGTCACAGCCAGTGAATGAGGTGGGTGAGGACACATGGTGACATTTTTACAGTCTGCCTTCCCTTTGGATGGTACCCAGCTGCAGGTTTTACCACGTTGGTGATTAATCTTTGTCAGTCACTCAGGAAGGATGATTCCAGAATTGCTTCAGAAGGTGGCGGGGTGATGAAGAGGTGTGTTTGAAGTGAAGGGGCATATTTTGAGAAGGATTAATAGCCATGAGGCTTTTACTGTAATAAATGTCTAAAATTTATTCATTGTACATGTTGATCTCGCCTTGTAGACAGTAATGTCTGTGGGCCACGACCTGGGGCGGTGCCTCTGTTTAGTCATCTGTAATTAGTGCTTGGATGCTTGCCTTCCTTACCATGTCTGTGAGAGCAGTGATGGTGTCTTGGTATACATTGAACTTGATTGACCCCTCCTGCCAGGGAGCTCTGAATAGTTCCCGGGATAATCTTAATGTGGAACTTTAATGTCTGCACAAATCTGCAGGGCCTGGGGTTAAAGTGCAGATTTTGGTCCCCAAGTCAGAGGTGGGCCTGAGGTCCTGCATCTTTCACAAGCACCCCATGACACAGATCTTGCTGACTCGGGACCCACTTGTCCCTCATAGTACATTTGTCACGCATCTGTCCTACCCTCTTGTTTAAAGTGCAGGTCCCAGGCTGTACCTCTGATTCCAGGACTGGAATCTTGGCTGCCTGAGCTGTTTCTCTAAGGGATTCTTAAGCCCATGGAAGGTTCTGAGTCACTGCTTTGGTGCAGTGGATAGGGGAGTTGTGCTAGCCAGCTTCCCTTACTACAACAAAGTACCCAAGATGTAAACTTACAGAGAGGAGCTGGGGTGTAGCTGAGTAGTAGTGTCCCTGCCCAGCATGAGGCCCTGGGTTTGATCCCTGGCATCACACACACATTAAAAAAGGGTTTATTTGGGGGGCTGGGGATTTAGCTCAGCGGCATAAGCGCCTGCCTTGCAAGCAGGCAGTCATGAGTTCGATCCCCAGTACCGATAAAAAGGAAAAAGACAAAAAAAAAAAAAAAAAAAAAAGGGTTTATTTTGCCTCCCAGTTTTGAAGGCTTTGGGGCTGTCAGCTTATTGTGATGGGAGCACAAGCTGGAGCAGAGCCTCTTACCTCATGGCAGCTAGGAAGTGACAGCGAAGAGGAAGAGGCCAGTTCCCACAGTCCCCTTCCACCGCAGACCTCAGGGACCCAAAACCTGCCATTAGGCTGCATGTGCTTAAGGTTCCATCCCCTCCCAGGGCACCAGACCTTTAACACAGGGGCCTTGGGGACATCCCAGGTGCACTTTATAGAGAGGTTTAGACCAAAAGGAGAATCACCTAAAAACATGCAGTGAGTCGCACAGAGGTGTTTCAGGACACAGGCCATTCAGTGGAGCTTGCAGGGGAGGCACTGCCTGGTGGTCTGGGGCATGGGACCTCGCCCATCAAGCCCCCCGTTCCTCTTCTGCAAAGGGGAGAGGGCATGCTCTGATGAGTCTTCTCCTTTCCCCTCTGCAGTCCCTCAGCATGCTGTGCCCACGCCACGTCCAGGTGCACTGACCATGAGCCCCAACTCCTCCCTTGGCCACAGGAAGGAGCTGAGCAACCTCACTGCGGAGGAGGCTGGGGACGGGGGCGTCGTCACGGAGTTTGTTGCTATCATCATCATCAGCGTGTTCGTCTGCCTGGGCAATCTGGTCATCGTGGTCACCCTGTATAAGAAGTCCTACCTCCTGACCCTCAGCAACAAGTTCGTCTTCAGCCTGACCCTGTCCAACTTCCTGCTGTCCGTGCTAGTGCTGCCCTTTGTAGTGACCAGCACCATCCGGAGGGAATGGATCTTTGGTGTGGTCTGGTGCAACTTCTCTGCCCTCCTCTACCTGCTCATCAGCTCAGCCAGCATGCTCACCCTAGGGGTCATCGCCATCGACCGGTAAGCGGGCTTGGCATGGAGAGTGAGAGGTCTCCAGTCTTGTGACCTTTGAATGCTTTGGGTCCTTGGGAGAGGGCCAGGGTCATGCTGTGGGAGGGTCAGCCAGCAGCTCTGCCTCTTCTTCCATGTGACTGCCCTGAGAATCTCTGGTTTTTCCTGTCTGTTGCACAGATAGGCAAGTGCCACAGAGGTTGTATATCAGCAGTGTTCAACCTATTTGGCTCCAGGGACTGATTTTGTGAAAGACAGTTTTTCCACAGATGGAAATGGAGAGATAGCTTTAGGATTAGATTCTCATAAGAAGCATGCAGCCTGTATCCCTTGCATGCGCAGTTCACAGTAGGGTTCATGCTCCTATGAGAATCTTATGTCATCATCCATCTCACTGGAGGTGGAGCTCAGGCAGTGATGCAACCGTGGGGAGTGGCTGTAAATCCAGGTGAAGTTTTGCTCCTTGGCTCAGCACTCACTCAGCCCCTGCTGTATGGCCTGGTTCCAAACGGGCCACAGCCTGGTACTGGTCTGCAGCCTGGGGGTTGGGAATGCATGCCACACACCATGGTATATGCCATGTAGTGGTGGTGAACCTATGGCACGTGTGCCACAGCTTGCTCTGAAAGCTTTGCAGTCAGTGTGCAAGGGTGTGGAAGGCTGTACTGTCCAGTTTTGTGTGTGTATACGGTGGTGTTTGCAGAGTTAGAGAAATCACTGCATGGCCCACTGATGCCTAATTGCTATTTTAGTTTTTTAAAAGAGGTTCCATTGCTTACAGATGAAGAGACAAGCGTTGGGGATGATAAATGGCAGAGGAGGAAGTGGTCTGGGTCTTCTGACTTGGTGGTTCCTCCCTGACACTGGCCTTCTGGTCCAGGCCCAGCTTCACAGCTGGAGCCTCGGTGGGAGCCACCCTGCTCCTCACAGCTAGATTGGAGAGGGAGCAAGGAGGGAGGGAAGACACCAGGGAAGAAAGGCAGTGGCAACCAGGAGAACCCAGTGTCCAAGTTTTCTCCCAGTACTGAGGACTCAACCCAGGGCCTTTTCAGTAAGCTACACTCCCAGCCCTTTTTATTTTGAGACTGAGTCTCAGTAAATTGCTAAATTGCCCAGGCTGAGCCCCAACTCTCAATCTTCCTGCCTCAGCCTCCCAGAGTGCTGGGATTATAGGTGTGCACCACCACGCCTGCTTTCAAAACCCATATTGCTTCAACCTGCATTGTAGCTGGCACATGGGAGGCTGTCACCACTGTTCCTCAGCTATGTCTTGCAGGTGCCTCAGAGTCCCTCCTCGGGTCCTTGATTGGGTTGGACAGGTCTCAGGGCTCAGGCAGTGCCTTTCCAACCCCTTTTTTTGTTAGGGTTTTGCCAATGGTCACTTCATTTATAACAGGCAAGGGCTGGACTTCATGGGGCCAGGACTGGGTGGGGTGTTTGTGGTCTGTGACATTTACCAGAAGTGGGTCAGGGAAAAGACAGAGGGCTCTGGCTGGCGAGGTGGCTCTCAGGGGACCATGGTGACTCAGCGGATGAGCTGTAAGCAGACTGCGTGTTTGGAGCACAGACCCACACTGCTCCCACGACCAGATTTCCCCTGAACTCTGAGCAGAGCTATGGGATGCAGTGGATCCAGGAGTTTCTCTGAAAGGATTTGCCTGTTCCGATAGTAAGAGGAACCCAGAAACTCTCATAATTAACCAGATGCCATCCCTGTGTGTGATTTTCCTGTATTGACCACCAGTGCTTTTTGCTTGGATACAGTAAACTTTTGGAATGTGTACAGTTTTAGGACCGTGACTGTGAGCATCTCCTCCCCACTGCAGACGTCCACGGAGCACGAGATCTCGGTGGTCACGTGGAATTCAGTTGCTGTGGCTGCATTTAGGTGACTTCACCGAGCTCACAGCTCTGCAGAATACTGTGAGCAGAGCATGTGTCCAGGGAATCACTGTGTTCGGGTAGAATAAACACTGCACGTTCAGGATTCTTGGTGTAGAAGAAGGCAGAAGTTTTGTTCAAGAAGTTTTGTTCAGTAGCCGGTGGTCAGTAGCTTGCAAAGACTGAGTGTATGGGGCCGGGGATGCAGCTCAGGGACAGCACCTGCTCGGCAATTGTGAGGTTGTAAGTTTGATTCCCGGCATGAAAAAAAAAAAGACTGAGTAACATTGAAAAAAGGGTTGGAAGACTTTTTGGCTGTGGAGAAGAAAGATATCTCATGATTGTCCAATTATTTTTAAAAATACTGTTACTTTTTAGCCAGGTGTGGTGGCACATGTGTATCATGCCAGCACTCTTGGAGGGCAAGGCAGGAGGATTGCAAGTTTGAACCCAACCTGGGAAACTTGGCAGTTTAGTGAGAACCTATCTCAAAATAAAAATAAATATGTAAATTAGATAAGGGCTGGGGCTGTAGTTTAGTGCAGTGGCCCTGGGTTCAATCCTCAGTACTTGAAAATAAAAGGCTTTACTTTTGGAACATCCCTGCTAGTCATGGAGTGCAGAGCTGTCTGAGTGGGGCTGGGCAGCAGGCCAGGGCCTGCAGCAGGCACCCCAGTGGGCTGCGTGTGCCTCCCTCAGCCTGGGGTCTGCATGGTGACAGTGGGGTTCTTCACCAGCAAGAGTGACAGGTCCTAAATCATGTGTCACTGTACTCATCTGACAGAGCTTGCCTCTGCCAATGCCTTGTTCTTCAGCGCTGAGAGTCTTTGTGGGGTGCTTACTCTGTGGAAGTCTCTACTCCAGGTTTTGGGGTGGTCTGTCAAGCCCACCTCCAGGCCACTGAACTGAGGGTTCTCCTCCACCACTGTGGCCCCTGAGCAGAGTCGTCGTCTGGGTGAGGCGCTGGCTGGTCGAGCAGGGTCTGTAGTACCTTCTCTGGCCTCTGCTCACCAGATGTCAAGGGCACTGCCCCACCATGACAGCCTGTTGCCAGGTATCTCCAGGGAACAGAATCATCCCCAGCCTGGACTCCTAGTGAAAGAAAGCTCTCCCGGCCAGGAGTAGAGTGTTTGCCTGGCATGTTCAGGACTGGATTTGATCCCCAAAACCACAGGAAAAGAAAAGAAAGAAACCTGTTCTACTGATGGGGGAGATGAGCCTAGAAGAGTCCATCTTGTAGCTCCCTAAAAAGAGACCAGAGGCAGACACAAAGCCTGACCGGGATGAAAGTCACCATTTAGATGTCAGTGACCCAGCCCAGCTGAGAGGAAGGGTGCCAGCCAGGCGAGCATCTGTCCCACCAGCAGTGTTGCTGTAAGTCAGCTCCTGCCAGTGCAGTGGTAATGCACTGTCACCCCGCCAGAGAGCCATTAAAAACATTTCCTCTGTCTTCATCCCACACTACGGCAGATGACTCTGGAGCTCTGAATAGCGCGGTGTGTTTGAAAGCAGCTGGAGCAACAGGATGGTTGTTGCAATGCAGACGATCCCCTGTGTGCCCAGGAGACTGCAGTGTGAGCTGACGTGTTCATTCAGGGGCAGCTGCGGGGAGCTTGGAATGTGTTTGGGTTTGTAGTGAAAACATCTTAGGAAAACAGGGATTGCTCCCAAAGTAGTCAGAAGATGGCCAGAGAGCCACACATCTGGAGCCCCTTCCCACACCCCAACCTCTCAGTTATACGAAGTATCATCAAAGCTGCATGGGTCGAAGGATTGCATGTGGTCTGGGGCCTAAAGTGGGCTGGTGAAGGGAAGGCAGGACAGGAGTTCAGGAGGCAGAAGAATCCCCGCCCCTGGGCCTGTGTTCACCTACCTGGGAGGAGGGAGCTGCCTCTGTTCTTTCCTCCTATTTGAATGGGAAACGCGGCTCAAATGCGGTGTCAGTTTTGAAAAGGAGTTTTGGAAGTTTACTGTGATGCTGTGGCTTTTTTTAAAAAAAAAATTTTTTATTACACGTTGTGCATTCAGAAAGCTGTCTTTTTTTTGAGATAGGATCTCACTATGCAGTTCAGACCCGCCTTGAGCTCATTATGGAGCCCATGGTGGCCTCAAACTCATGGGGATCGTCCTTCAGCCTCCCGAATGCTGTAGTTACAGGTGTGCTCCACCACACTGGGCTAACTGTACATTCTAAAAGGACAATTTGATGAATTTTATAAACTGGGCATACCTGTATAGCCTGCACCCCAATGCCAGTTCCCCAGATGCCCTTGAACTGCCTTCCTATCACCAACCCCATCCTGATGTGTAAGCTCACACTTAAGTGTGTGTCTGTTTTGCAGTGTTATATACATGCAGTCATGCTGTGGGGGGTAGCTTGAGTTGGGACTGTAGCTCAGTGGTAGAGCATTTGCCTGGCACTGCAAACAAACAGAGTTTTTAGTTTATAATTCAAAATACTTAAGCCCAGTTCTGTAGGAAGATGTGGGAATATACCTTGACAGGGGAGTGGACTTAGGCATTTCACTATGTGTAAACTTATCTCTGCCTCCAAAAAGACCCGAAGGGACTCACGATGGGTATGGACAGAGCTGTGCCCCGCACCCAGCTCTGCTACTTTGACTCCCTCTGCACTTGGAAAAAAGAAATCACAATAATGTACGACAGCCACTGCCCCTGCCCAAGCATCAGTTAGGGAGGGACGTGCAGCCTCCCCAGCTGGTCACTGCTGCAGTCCTGAGGGCCCAGCGCGGCATGCTCCGTAAGGGGCCGGGAAAAGCGGACGTCTCAGCCTTGCATCTTCTTTGCTGTGAAGCAAAGCTTTCTGGAAGTACTTCCCGTTCCCGCAGACTCCTTTCACATTTCGCTTTCCAGGGTGATGCTGCACAGCCCAGTGCCTCGGCTGGCCACCTGGCATGGGAAGGAGGCTGCCATTAGAAGCTTGAGCACTGCCAGGGCCTGGGACTCTGAGTCCCCATGGGTCGTGGAAGCTCAGCAGGGGCAGAGCACTGTGGGGATCCTGACCCAGGCCATCTGCTTCCACTCAAGGGCAGCACGAGCCAGTGTGTCTCTGTCCGGTCTGTTCTGGGAGCCAACCTGGGACACAGGTCCTACAATTCCCATTTCACAGAGGAAGGAACTGAAGTGCTGAGAGGTTAATCAGCTCCGCAGTGTCACAGCCAGTAGACAGCAGGGCCTCTGTCTGACGCCTGCTTCTTCCACAGGGCTGTGGGCCTTTTCAGACGTACACTTGGTATTGGCACCCCACACTGAGCCTGCCTGCCCATGCCCTCCCTGGCATCTCCACAGCCTGCCGTGGTAGCTTTCTGCCTGCTGGGTCCTGAGCCAGTGCCCCCAGCCTTCCAAGACCTGGGTCTTGTGTGTTACCACTGAGGACTGCTGCGACCCTCCTGTCCCATCAGCTAACTCTTGCCTACTCCGTAGTCACAGAGCGAGTGGATGGGAACCACCTTTGGTGCAAGGACACCTTGCCAAGGTGGCTTGCAGGGAATTGCTGGGCACCATGGAGCCATGCTGTCTAGGTTTATGTCTTGTTTTTTCACAGTTTGGAGCAGATCATCCAGCATTTCTTGGCTTCAGAGTTGTCCTCTGTGAAATGAGGTTAATGGCACTGCTGCTTACCATGCTCCCCTCTCCTAGCTGGCACCCCCTGCCCGTGTCTGTCTTCTTTCCCAGCACGCAGCTGGCTCTCAGTGAATGTCCTTGTGGGGAGTGAAGCCAGCGGGCCTTGGACATCATCCTGATTCTTACTGAGCTCTCTACAAACACACAGAACTGATCTGGCCAGACATGGGACCCCTTAGGACCTCTGAAGAGGCCTCAAGGATACCTGTACCCTGAATATGTGGGGGCTGACTTGGAGACAGAGCTGCCCAAACTCTGTGTCCTTGGTGGTGTCCAGTGGCTGCACATTGAAGACTCCTTCCAAGAGGAAGAGCATGCTACAGCCTGCACCCTCTCTGTCTGGGCAGTGCTGGGAGAAGGCACCTCCTTTAGAAGCTACTACTATAGTTGGTCAGCTGGGTCAGTGCACCCCCTACCCCAGGAAAGTGGGGTGCCCATCCTGGCATGTTCTCTGCCTTTGACTCTTCTCTTGCTTCTCGCCTCCTCTTTGCAGCTACTACGCTGTCCTGTACCCGATGGTGTACCCCATGAAGATCACAGGGAACCGGGCCGTGATGGCGCTGGTCTACATCTGGCTGCACTCCCTCGTCGGCTGCCTGCCCCCGCTGTTCGGCTGGTCGTCCGTGGAGTTTGACGACTTCAAGTGGATGTGTGTGGCCGCCTGGCACCGGGAGCCCGGCTATACAGCCTTCTGGCAGATCTGGTGTGCCCTGTTCCCCTTTGTGGTCATGCTGGTGTGCTATGGCTTCATCTTCCGCGTGGCCCGGGTCAAGGCCCGAAAGGTACACTGTGGCACGGTGGTCATCGTGGAGGAGGACGCTCAGAGGAGCGGGAGGAAGAACTCCAGCACCTCCACCTCCTCGTCAGGCAGCCGGAGGAATGCCTTTCAGGGCGTGGTCTACTCAGCCAACCAGTGCAAGGCCCTCATCACCATCCTGGTGGTCCTCGGCGCCTTCTTGGTCACCTGGGGCCCCTACATGGTGGTCATCACCTCCGAGGCACTCTGGGGGAAGAACTACGTCTCCCCAACCCTGGAGACCTGGGCCACATGGCTGTCCTTCACCAGTGCCATCTGCCACCCATTGATTTATGGCCTCTGGAACAAGACGGTTCGCAAAGAGCTCCTGGGCATGTGCTTTGGGGACAGGTATTACCGGGAGCCATTTGTACAGCGACAAAGGACATCCCGGCTCTTCAGCATTTCCAATAGGATCACAGGTAACTGGGGCACCTGGGAGGGAAGGGCTTCCCACCTCAGGGCGGACCTCACCTGGGGTCTCCTGCTCAGCAGCTCTGGCCTGTGCGCACTGATGGGGAAGGGGACACTTGAGAACAGCCACTGTGAGCCCTAGGCTGCTTTCCTTTATGTGGCCACCCTGGGCCATGCTGATGGGAGGGCAGTGTGCATCCTGCAGGAATTAGGCAGGAGAGTCTGACACCCCACATCCTCTCGTGTTAGTGTGGCTGCTATCTAGCACTGTTTCCCCACCTGGGCCCCTTGTCCAGCCAACTCCCCCTCAGCCTTCCCGGTCAGGGCAGGAGTTTCCTCCTCCTGTCTTTGGTAACTGAAGGAGAGAGTGGAGTGTCCCACCTGAGCCCTGCATGGGAATTTCACTGTGCTGTGGCCGAGGCAGCACTTCACCTGAAAACCGATCCGGAGTCGGTCAGCCTGCATTCGATGAGACCCTAGTCAGTTGCTCTGTACACGGACTGGATTTTTTTTTTTTTTATCTTTTTATTTGGAAGTGATTTTAGATTTATAGGAAAGTTGGAAAAGCAGTACAGAGAGCTTTCCTTGGTGTTGACCTCAGAACCAGGGCCTGGCATGTGCCTGGCAAGCACTCTACACTGAGCCCCACCGCAGCCCTCCTATGACCCTCTTCTTGGGTGTCGGTCGGAGTCTGCAGACTGTGACTACATTTGCATTCAGCAGATGCTTTCTTCTCGTTAGAATGAGGTTACACAGGATGCCCCGAGGGCTGTTCTTGGTGGCTTAGCTGGGGCACATCTGTCACCCAGGTCCAGGGTTGGGAGGCTGTCAGATTTCTCCAGTGTAAAGGACTTTTCTTGGTAGTAGTAAGCCAGCAGAGCAGCTGATTGAAGCCTGTGCGTAGGTGGCTGGGTCCTCAGCACTTGCTGTGTGGATCTGCAGTGAGGTTGCTGGGGTTTTTCGGTGCACGGCTGAAGGTGACCATCGCCTGCCTGAGCCAGGCGGAAGATTCGGAGAGCACCCCGCTCAGACAGTGGTCCTGCCGTGTGCCAGACAATGCACCCAACTGTAGCTCATGTTTCCTCTTTGTGAAACAGAGGCTGCGCGCCTCGCTCTGCAGAGGGAGGAGGGAGTAATGACCACCTCGAGCCCATCCTGGAAGAGGTGACAGGTAGTCTTTCCAGGTGGCAGTGCCACTCAGCACTTTCTATTTTGATCAGAGATAGAAAAAGATTCCCTCTCAGTCCCAGTGTTTAAGCCCTCTGAAATGCCCGCCCTTGTAAGCCAGGACCTATTCTGCATTTGGCTCCGCTTCTCTGCTTAGCATGTTGGATGGTGTAGTCACTTGTCTCCTGGGCCAAAAATGATAGATGCTTTCCATTCCAGCAAAGTGAAGAATGAGGAAGGGGAAAAGAAAAACGAGGAAAGATAATGGAGGAGGAGCGAGGAGACAGAATGAACAGAAACATCTGGTTTTGCCAAGTTATTGAGGGAGAAATGGTCTTGTGGGATGCTTTTGGATTGGAGAGCTCATGGCGTGACAGCTGGCTCCAGGGTGAGGGCTGGAGAGTCCTGGTTTCTCCCCGAAGGGCCGGATCGCAGGAGGGGGCAGCAGCATCACCCACAGTGTGCAGAACAAGGCCCAAGCCCAACTAGGGTCCTGGTCACAGTGCCACACCCCGTGCCACTCAAGCCAGTGATATAGGGGAATGAAACTCCTGACCTACTATGTCTGAGAGTTTATGTTCTCTAAAATTGAAGAATGAATTTTAGGAACAACGGAGGTTAAGAGTAGAATATATTTATTAAGAGAAAGAAAGCTTCTGTCTGAGAGACAGAAGGGGTCCTGAGCAGGTTGCCAAAGACTCTGTCTTTTCTAGGGATTTTTATAGAGTAAAACCATGGGTTCAAGGTGGGGGAAAGACTGGGAACACTCAAAACAGATGGGCATAAGGTGGGACATAACTAGAGTTAGCCAATAAGATTAATAGTTCAGGTAAAATTGATTACATTAGGGACAAATGGGAAATGAGTCATGTAGCAAGCAGGCATGCTTAAAGAGCAGTGATTCTTCTGTAGGGGGGCTGGGATGGGATTCCAGGCTTCCTCAGGGTGATAGGGAACTATTTACAGTATCAGTCCTCAGGATATGGGTGCATTTGTTTGGTCTTTTGTCTTGAGGCCTGGCCCACAGCAGGAGGTGTCTGTCTCCCCCACAGTGCTCCTTTGAGGACCTAGCCCTGTCTCACTGCCTATAGTATTTCTAACTCAGCTGCCTGCCATACCAGGAATGCCCATTCCCAGGAATCCTGATGGTTAGGGACAGCGCTGGCTTCCACCCTGTGTCCATCATTCTGTCTCACTATAGCTGACCAGGCCCTGCCTGACATCATCTGTGAGCAGGCTTTGATTGGCAGCTGCTTCCTAAACCCAGTTCACTTCCCCTGACATGTGCATCGTCCCAGCCACCTCCTGTACCCTTGGGTACACGGGGATCCTGGTATTCTCACACATCCAGCAAGAAATGCCCTGGAGACTCCATTTGGGTGGTTTTGCCTCTTTTTCCATGGGCACCTGGAAAGTTTTCACAAAGGAAATCAGTAGATGGAATAATAAGCTCCCTTAAAACAGTGCTTATTGGCAGAGGTAGAGCAGAATCCCCAGGCCCCCTGAGCCGCCTCCCCCCCACCCGTGCCAGCACTGTCTCTCCTCAGCTCAGGGCAGTGGTTATTTCATGCACAGCGATTTCAGTCATCATCTGTGGATTTTGATTTTCCCATTTTGTTCACCTTGACCTGAGGAAGCTCTCCCTGGAGTGCCAGGTATCACTGGCCCCCTGTACCTTCTGCTTCTGAGATCTCCACAGATGCCCGAGGGAGGCTCCCTAGGAGTTGAGGTCTTGGGGCCTCGGGTAGTGCCAGGTGGGACCACTTGAGGCAGGAGTCCTGGGGTGGACTGTGGCTTCTAGTGCTGAAAGGGGAGCCTCGTGCTGACACGTGGTCTGAGGATGCAGCAGCAGAGACGAGGCTGACCAGTGGCTGCTGCCAATCAGGGAGAAGGGCTTGAGCAGGGAGGGCAGGCAGCCTCCCTCAGCCCTGCACCCGGCAGATCCCGCTCTGCAGCTGTGCCATGCTCACAGAGGGCAGAGCACTGGTCTCTGGGGGAGGACGACCCCCCACCTCCCTCTCCTCAGAGGGAGATGCCCCCGGAAAGTTATTCTTTGAGCTGTCGTGGCTGGAAAGAGGAAAGGGCAGCCTGAAGCCCTGCGTCTTCCTCAGTTGCTTTGCTGTGCTCTTTTCCTGGTGGCCCCTTGAGGTCTTCCAGTTCCTCCTTTGTGCCAGCCTCCCCATGGAGTGCCGCCCGTTTCTTTAGCTGCCGGAAGACAGAAGTGGCTTTGACCCACTGTGTGCTCCTGGGGTGCAGCACCATGTTCCCTGGGGCCTGTCTCTGTTCTGTTTGGTTTGGCTTACTTGACCTTGTTGGAGGACAGCACTGGTTCCTGGGAACCGTCTTAGGGTAACAGCACTCTGGCTCCAGCGGGAAGTGGTACCACCTGGCTGCCATTTCAGACCTTTCCACTGAACTGCCCTGGTCTGGCTCCACTGATGCTTCCTGCAGCGGGGAGCGAAACATGTTCCTGGCTTGTGCTGCAGCCTTGGAGCTGCCGTCCAGAACCCACGGCTTCCGCCGTCCCTCTTGGCAGACGATGGCCCTGTAGGCTCCGCTGTCTCCGCTGGCCTCTTGTTGATCACAGCTGTGTTTTGAGGCCAGGACCACAAAAACGGGTGGCCAGATAGAGGAGGTATTTGTGGCCTTCTTGGTCTCAGCCCTGGAACCAGCCTCCAGCAGCGAGAGGAGTAAAGACACAGCTTTTACAGGATTCCCAGAAGTGATGGGAGTTTGGGGAAAGCTTGCCATGCCGGCCCCCTCCGCTTCCCCATTTCCTCCTGGCTTCAGGGAAAGAAGGAAAGAGTAGGTCCCGTCACCTTGTACCCTCAGAAGAACTAAGATAAATGGGGTCTTCTCCTATCTTGGAGTGTTACAGGAGAATCAAAATTCTCCTTTATTGCCCTTCTTTCATTGTCTTAAATCATTTTCTGCTGCTGCAACAAAATACCTGAGGCCAAGGGATTTGCCAAGAACAGAGGTTTATGTGGTTCACGATTCTGGAGGCTGCTCACTCCGAGAACACTGCCTGCTGGCAAAGGCCTCATGCTGCGCCAGCCCACTGTGCGAGGTGGAACAGCCAGAGCCAGAGGGTAGAAGTCACTGTCAGACAAAGCCCTAAGGTCTCTAAGCCACCTCTGTACTGTGACATTCATCCCTCATTCGGCCCCACTTCCTAGCCAGCGGCTGTGGGGGTGATTTAGTCTCCAGCGGCACCGACATGAGGGGCCCCTTCCAGTAGTAGCCATCATTAAATCTGAGATGTAAGGGGTCTGACTTTCCCCTCACCCTTTTAATTTGCTAGGAACGTTTTATGTCCCCATCCCTTTCTAGGCCCCAGCTCTTTTTAACAGAGTCATTATTTTTCAACTTTATGAGGGTACTCAGCTACCAGTTTTTTCCTTTGCCCCCACCTCTGTCTTTCATGCAGGCACCTGTCCTTCCTGTCTGGTGACACTTGGCCTCACCTTCAATCCCCGGGCCCTTTGTGCTGGGCAGCCTGGGGCCAGGTGGGCTTCCCAACTGCAGGGTGCTCCAGTGGGGCCGGTTCATCCAGCACCAGCATCTGGTGCTCAGTACTCTTGGGCTGGTTTTGGGGGAAAGTCTCCAGCCTCCAGCCCAGGTTGAGTGGGACAAAGGTCAGTGTCCAGTCCTTACTTAACCCATGGGCGGCCACTGCACATTTACAGTGTAGGTATCTGAAAAATACATTCATGACTAACATGCACCGAAATGCCAAGCAAAACACACAGAACAACCTACAGATTTGCATTTATTATGTAGTAATACGTATTTTAACTTATTTTGTTACAATCCAGAAGTTGTTAAAGAAATACTATTTACCAGATTTGCAGTATCTTATGTGTAATATCCTACTGAATATCACACAGCCTTCCAAACATGGTGGCTTAAAAGTTACAGCTTAACATGAGTCATGTGAGCCACACACCAATGCTCAGCTACGCCTTGAACCCGTGCGCCTGGAGGGTGCCCTAGTGTTGGAGAAAAGAGTCGCCTCGCATCTCAGGTCAGCCACAGCCTCCCGAGGGTTAAACATGCAGCTTTCATGCCTTCCTGTTGGTATCACGTCACCTCTGCCCTCAACCATGCCTGGTGTCTTCATGGCCAGGGCCCCTGGGTCAGTCTCTCTGCCATCTCTGGGGGTTGGGAGCCCTAAAACCAGAGGAGGGGGTGGGGGGTCCAGATGCCTCCAGCCCTGGCTGTCTGCAGAGACCCCTGGGCTCAACTCTGTGAACTCTGGGGTCTCTGTCAGCTGCCCGCCCCAGCTCGCTTTCCTGGGCCCGTGTCTCTGTCCTCCATCTGCTCTCCAGCTCCCCCCAGTTCTCTCTCCCTTTGGGGTTTAAGCCTCTTTTTTAAATTCCCCTTTGAGCTAGGTATGGAGGTACATGGCTGGAATACCAGCACTTTGGGAGGCTGAGGCAAGAGGGACTGCAAGTTGGAGCCCAGATAGGACAATTTAGTGACTTAGACCCTATCTCAAAACAAGCAATCAAAGGTTTGGGGGTGTAGCACAGAGCACAGCTCCAAGCCCTAGCACAAAAAACAAAACAAAAAAATTCCCTTTCATATCAAGCAGGATTTGTGAGAGGTAAGCAGGGAGTTACATTGTCCATAACTTTATGGAAATCTTCCCACCAGATTGCTTCTTGTAGGTGGCCCCTCTGCTAGTCTGGGTATGTTAGGAGGCTTCCTTGTGGAGAAACCAGGAGTCCTGACCCAGCCTCTGAAGTCTCCGCTCTTCCCGTGCAAGGGACAGCAGAAACAGTGAGCTGAATGTGGTGGTGGTGCACACCTGTAATCCCAGACCTCTGGAAGGCTGAGGCAGGAGGATCCCAAGTTTGAGCCCAGCCTGGGCCACTTAGTCTTGTATCAAAGGAAATTATTAAAAACCAAAAAAGGGGGCAGTGGAGGCTGGGGACATGCTCAGTACAAAGGCCCTGAGTTTAATCGCTAGTACTGCAAAATAAAAATAAGTAAGCAAGCAGAACGGCAGGGTGGGGGCAGAGGCCAGGGCAACGGGGAGACAGCCAGGTGGGCTGGGCAGGGTGGACCCATCTGTCACTGCCGACTCTGCCTTTCAGACCTGGGCCTGTCGCCGCATCTCACTGCGCTCATGGCTGGCGGACAGCCCCTGGGGCACAGCAGCAGCACCGGGGACACTGGCTTCAGCTGCTCGCAGGACTCAGGTAAGCCCCTCACCTGTGTCGCTGTGCTCGCCAAGGGTGTGCAGGGGCTTTCAGTCCTGCCCCTCAGCTCCTCGGCGTTTCTGTGCCTCCTGCTCTGCTCTGTCACACAGGGGGCTCAGTTCTAGATCCTCCTGCCACACTGAGCTGTTGTTATGAGGTTGGAAGTCAGGGAAAGCCTCTGAAATGCTAAAATTAAAAAGATGGTTATTGTTACGCAAGGGGTGATCAAAAGATTCGGTGCAGGTTTAAATTTTAAAAGCTACAGTGAAAGACACGCGGCCAAGAACGGCGAAATGAGTGTCGGACATGAGGCAGGAGCATTTGGAGTATTCTAGGAGGATGAATGGCCACGTGCCTTTTCCAATCACACACTTTTTGGTTTAAATGTTTCCCGGATTTGATGAGCACCCCTCAGCCGAGTGTCTGTAGCAGTTTCTGTCAGATAACATTATGGGGTGTCCTCATCAGCCCCGTCCACTGGGTCTGGCTCTGAGCAAATTCTGACTTCCTAAGTTGAAGTGCACTTGAAAGTAAATGTTTCCAATCTATTTAATCTGGTAGCCAGGACACTCAGGAAAGAACTTCCAGAACCGCTGCAGACAGTTGTAAGAGCAATGGGGAGAATTTTGAGGGAACTCACGGCAACGTGTCTTTTACTATAATTCACTTTAAAAATTTAAACACTCGCTGTGCTTTTCAATCATACCTGGTAAGAACCATTGGGCAGCCCAGCCTCGGGATCTACCCGTCTGGCTCCCCATCTCCTGTCAGCCTGTTAGGAACTGTGGGGTGCCAGCCAAGCTGTGTATTACTTTTCTAAGCCCCTGAGTTTGCAGTCTGGGAGGTGAGGGAGCTCCTGTGCACAGCAGGGTTGAAGGGAGGAGACCCTGTGGCTGTGAAGCCTGCTTGGCCCCGCACCAAGAGCGCCCACCAGGGGTCTCCCAGTCACACTCTCAGCTCAGGAGACGTCCCCTTCCCCAAAGCTCTGTCTTGGCCTCGCCAGTCTGTTCCCAGTGCAGGTGGGCAGGGTGGGCACAGTGAATGCCGCTCTGTCCACAGAGTGTGCTTAGGGACGGGGAGTCAGGAGTGACAGGGACAAGGCCAGCATTATAGGGAGAAGAAAACGTGGGCCTCAGGGTCCCACAGACCCACACGTGAGCTCTCGCACCAGTGCTCATTAGTTGGTTGTGTCCCACTGAGTAATGACTGTTGGTGCAGGCCCTGTGTGCCACGCACCGCACTGGGCTTTGGATGTGTCAGATCGTGATCCCCACCACTCTGAACTCAGCTGAGTAGGGTGCCCGTTTCATAGACATAGATACTGTGATATGAACCGGCCTGCCAGTGACGGTACACTTTGGCCCTGGTGCTGGCCACCATGCCCTGAGTCTGCTCGTGACCGCGTGGTCATGCCTGGCAAGGGGCTCTGAAGGAGGGTGGCTCCAGGCTTCCTGGTCTCCCCGATTTCCTGAGCTCAAGGCATTGGTGGATTGAAAGCTGGACACTGAGAACAGAGCAGGTCCTGGAGTGGGACCAGGTACTGCCCAGTGACCAGTCCCACAACAACCCTGATGCCCTGTCCCTCTCACGGGCTTCTCTGCTCGGTTTTCTGGCATGACCCTCTGCCTTTATTTCCCTACTCTTCCAGGGATATGTTTTTTTCTCCTGTTTTAGCTCCTCAGAGAACTTGAAATTTGCAAGTTTTTCATGTTTACATAGCACAAAATATTTTAACCATGATGATAGAAATTCAGGGTGAAACAGTAATTGCGAATAGGACCCTGCTCACTCCCTGGGGCCCGTCCCCTCCCTCCTTCTGTCACTGGAGGCCCAGCAGACACAGTTCTGGATGACAGGGTGTCCTAGGGACAGGTGGAAGGGTCGGAGTGGGGAGGAGGGCTCACTTGTGCACTTGGTCCTAGGAACGGACGTGATGCTGCTGGAAGACTGGACGTCAGAGGACAACGCCCCCTCCCAATGCACGTGCCCGCCCAGGAGGAGGAGCTCAGTGACATTTGAGGATGAAGTGGAGCAAATCAAAGGTTTGTTTCTGCAACTCATGGCTTCAGAGTACGTAAGGGAAAAAGGATCCCTGCTCCTGCCCGAGCTCAGACCTGAACTCCGGCCTGCTGGTTTCACATGCATCCCAAAGTAGTGAGGCAAAGCAAGCAGCATCTAAAGCTGGACCTGAGCAGCTGGGTGACACCATTTCCCCAGGGACGTGGCCCAATTGAGTGAAGGCCCTCCACAGTGTCTTTCCTTCACGGATGCTGTGCACTTATAAATGAGCTACCACTGTCATTGTCACTGGTGTCATGGATACTGGGGTCCCGCCAGGAGCCGAGGCCTGCTGTGAAACTGGGCTGGTTTCTATGAGACATGCTCAGGGAGGAGTGGCAGGACCGCCGGCTGCTTGCAGAGGGGCAGTTTCTCTTCCAGGAGTGACTGAGGCTGCCAGCACGACTGAGCCGTGAATGAAATACCAAATACAAATATAATATAAACATGAGCCAGCAGAGTTTTCGGTTCCTGGTTAATCTTATGTCTTCCACCACTGCCTCCCAGTGCTGGGGTGCAAGGGAGAAGTGGCCTGGAGGGCAGAGGGGAAGGTAGTCCGTCATCCACTCCACAGGCAGAGCCCATTTGAGAGTGGGCTGTGGGTCAGCAGCCTCGCAGGCTTTATCGTGTATTCCTTTCACCGGAAAGGTGAGTGGAACCAGGCTGCCCCAGCCCAGCACAGTCCATGCAGGACCCACGCTGTACCTTCACAGAGGGTCATGGCAGCAGCCTCTTTGCAGGCCTGAGAGCGAGTCACCAGCAGGGGGCGACACTGCCCAGTGCCCCTCCACTCCTTCCCTTATGGAGAGATGGCTTCTGGTGGCCTGCTCTCCAGAAAAGTTCCACCCACACCGATATAGGCACAAAAAATAGGCAGAATGGCTCATCCTAATAGGGCACTGGTGTGACACTGAAGACTCACCTCCTTTTCATTCTGGGTGTCCGGGGTCCTAGGTAGGGACAGGTTTTAATGTCATCTCCAACCCCGAGGTTCTGGAGAGGAAAGAGCCGATGTGTGGACACGAAAGCTTATAGCTGTGCATTTTATGCTGTTTCAGAGAAGTGAAAGAACAGAGAACCCTTTCAACACTGTGATTAGCATTAATAGGATTTATTGAGACTTCTGTAGAAGACAGACCTAGCTAAACATTTGTTTGAAAGGACTCATTATTACAGTAACCCTATGAAGGGAGAGAACACCCCCATACCCCACCAGGATTAAAGCCAGGACCTTCAGACTGAACTATATTTTTGAGCTTTTTTAAAGCCAAGGCCTTATCAAATTTCCTAGGCTGGTCTCAAACTTGTGATCTGCCTGCCTCAGTCTCCCAGAGTGTTGAGGATACAGGGTGTGTACCACCATGCCTGGCGGAGATCTCTTTACAGATGAAGAAACCCAAACTAGGTGAAATAACTCTGGCTAGTGCGCGGGGGAGTCAAGGACTGCAAAGACTGGGAGCCTCACCGGGCTCCTCCTGGGCAGGGCTGCAGCAGCAGATGTGGTCCACGGATAGGCCTGACACCGGGCTTCTCCACTAACCTCTTTCTGCCTCTCCCCAGAAGCTGCCAGGAACTCCATTCTCCACGTGAAAGCTGAGGTGCACAAGTCCTTGGACAGCTACGCAGCCAGCTTGGCCAAAGCCATCGAAGTGGAAGCCAAAATCAACTTATTTGGGGAGGAGGCTTTGCCAGGGGTCCTGTTCACTGCACGAACCGCGCCTGGGGGTGGCTACGGGGGCCGCCGAGGCAGCCGAACTCTTGCGAGTCAGCGGCTGCAGCTGCAGAGCATCGCGGAAGGGAACGTGTTAGCTGCGGAGCAGAGATGAGGGACCCGGCGTGGCTGGGCTGAGCCGGAGATGCTCCCTTGGGAAGGCTTCCACAGCCTCTGCTCTGGACCTGGAACACGGGAGAGGAAACATCTGGTGTGCAGCCGCCTGGGCGAACGTAATGTCTCCAGTCTGCGACGCGGGCATCCGCGTCTCAGGCTCACAGACAGCATGGGGGAGGGGGAAGTAGGGGGTGCTGACTGTGGAAGGCGGGGACGTCCAGGAGGACCAGCGGCCCTGGGTTTGGAGGGAACCGCCGCACGGATTGCTTCCTCGCACACCTTGTGACCTGGGGGCCCAGCGAGCACCGCCCAGACGCTGCCGAGGAGAACCCTTCCCAGTGCACCTGACCCCAGTACTGCCAAGCTGGATCCTGCAGGATTCACCCCCAGGCTTCTGCAGGGCTGATACAGGAAGTGAGGGCCCCAGACCGAGCGCGGAGCACCCAGGGACAGAGCGCCAGATGCACTTCCTACACTCGCTCCCCAGCGGCGCCCCCTGCTGGTGCCAATGGGCGCAGCGTGTAGGCGGCTGGGGATGGGTCACCCCACCCACCTCTCTGGACCGATTCTTAGATAGTTCACAAGGGAGAAACCACTATAGAAGACGGGGAGGTACTAGGTGTTTTATTTCCAAAATCAGACAAGTGGTTAGACCACCTCACAGTCTCATCAGGACTGGCCAAGTGCGGCAGCGCCACGCTGTGGCTATTGCTGGAGGGAATCCCTTCACATAGGAAACTTCAAGATAGGTTCTGTGGGTGATGCTTGAGTGCGCAGGGCATGCCCCAGCTCTGCGTTAGTCTGTGCATGTCATTTGGGACACCCTGTTACCTCTCCAGGGCATTTGTAAAAGGAGAAAAGGGAGTGAGGTGCTGGGCTGAATGGGCTCCAAGATCATTTTCAGCTCGAATCTCCTTTGTTCTCTGAACTCATAAATGGGGGCAGCATTTGTCTTCCTTTGACATCTCTCAGTGGGGAGCACAGTGCTGATAGAGTGCTGACCCCAAGGATGCGAAAGTGAAGAAAGAGGGCGCCACCTTAGGATGGGGGCAGGTCAGCAGGTGAAGGACCCACGGTCAGGCTGCTTTTCTCTCCTCCCCTTTGAGCTGGAACGGTAGCTGAAGTTGGGGATTGGAGTAGTGGCTGCGGTGACTTGGGAAGGAAGCCACCAAAAAACTCCCCATGCCACCGTCCTTCAGCCTGGGTGATCAGGTGAACTAAGGCAGCAGAGGGAAGACTCCAGCGGCGGCTTGTTCTCTCTGCTATCAGGCAGCCAGTCCAGTAAGGGAACTGCCTTCAGAGCACTTCTCTGGGGTCCAGAAACCAATAGCTTTATCATCACCTGTCAGCAGTTTATCTCACCTGCTGCTGCTTTTGGCCAGCTGAGGACTATCCTGGGTTCAGGGGAACACGAGGAGGGTACCTGTGGCTTCTGCTGCTGATACATGCAGGTCAGACAGGCACTGCTGTCACTGCTGGGTAGCATCCTGTTTCTGAGGGCAGCATATGTTTGCGGTGTATGTACTGTATATAGCTTTTTCTAGCACTTGTACAGTTTCTGAAGGGAGTGTGTTCCTGGTTAATTAGCATGCACAAAGATGGAACAGGCAGAGACCTTTACTTTTTTTTTTTTTTTTTTTTTTGGTCTTTTTCCTTTTTATCGGTACCCGGGATCAAACTCACGACTGCCTGCTTGCAAGGCAGGTGCTTATGCCGCTGAGCTAAATCCCCAGACCCAAGACCTTTTACTTTTGCATGAGGTCTGTAGTTGGAAGTTTCTGAGTGCCCTAAACTGCCTGAGGATCAAAGAGTTGGAGCCTGCACTAGGCTGGGCTCTAGAGAAACAGTCCTGAGGCTCCAGCCCCCGCTGACTGCCCCCAGACTAGCTGGTGTGCAATAGAACTGAATCTAAACAAAGATACGCTGCATTTCACAAAAGAATTTGCTGTTCAGCCTTTTAATGCAATGAGACCTATCCTGGTTTTGTTTTGTTTTTTGTTTTCTTGAGACAGGGTTTCTTTATACAGTTTACTCTGAGCTTGAACTCAAATTTGTAGCTCAAGCTGGCCTCGAATTGCAGTGACCCTCCTGGCTCAGTCTGAGGCCCATATATTTAAACATCTGCTGGGCGCTGCAGCCTGCAGTGTGCACGGTGCCAAGCTAGGTGCTGGGGGACAGAAACACTATTTCCTTTCCGGGTAAAGGAAAGAGACCTGGGAGGTGTGGAGTTAAGTACTGATTGTGGAAAGGACCATGGCTCCAGAGGATGGTGGGTATTTCCTTGAAGCAGATGACAGTTTGCACAAAGCCTTGGAGCATGTTTGGTAGCTAGGACCCTATTTGGTGTAGTCAGGGATTCAGATTTGCCTGGTGGAGCTAGAGCGGAGTGCGTATGGCAAGAGGGGAAGAGCTGATCTCCCTGGCTGTGCACTGTAAACTGTGGGGCAGTGGAGGCCTCGGGCTTTCCTGAGGGCACCGGAGCAGTGGCAAAGGAGACACTTGGCCACTTGTTGGCTTAAATACCTCAGTCCTGTGACTTCTGATTTTGACAGGATCGCCTCGAGGCTTTATCACTGAGAGTTCCCCTCGACTCTGTGTTGTGCTTCCAGATGCCCGGTGTGGGGCTGCCAAAGGCACTGGGACCTTGGTAGCACTCACGGCTGGACTCTGGGACGGCCCCCGGCCTCGGACACTAGGTGGCAGCAGCGAGGCTGCAAATGTAGCCCCTGGTGGGCTGGTGCTCTCGCTGGGAACTGCAGCAGTGACCCATCCTTGGCCTTGGCAACCGAGTGCCACTCAGGCAGCCCGCTTTCATGTGACCTCCGCCTGATTCACAGGTCCTGCCTCACCTCGGAAGCACACTGCGGCTCCTGGAGCTGCAGACCCGTGGCGTGGGTGGGGCCAGCTGGTGCTGATGGGGTTTCATTTTCATTTGCAGAGCTGCTGTGGAGCCTCTGCAAAGAATCCACAGACCAGGGACCCTCGTTCAGTATTTACTATAGGCCACGGCACTTTGGGTCAAGAAAAGGCAGGGAGGAAAAAGTGCTTCGACACAGATAGGGATAAGGTTAGTTTCCTTGAAGCCACGGGTATTGTTCCATTTCCTACAGCAGCAAATCACTGCTTAGGGACTTGTGTCCCGATAGACCACAAGACACACTCATGGCAAGTGTGCAGCCTTGAGCTGTCTCCTGACCCGATGTGACAGTGAACATGGAGTGGCGTCCGACATGCATGCAAGGCACTGTACGAGGACTTCTCCCTGCTGCCCGCTGTCTCCACTTTGGTGCACGTGCGGTCATGGTTGTGAGTTGCACTCCCACGCCGTGGCTGAATGTTCTTGGCAAGTTAGTTGGTATTTCTGCATCTGGAACATGAGGTTTTATAATCTGTGGCCCAGAGAAGACTGCTTTTATACTGGGTAGTTGTGTGGATCACGGGAACACGTACCTGGGAATCGTCCAGCACAACCTGGTGCAGGCCGAGCTAAGCTAGTGTCTTGTTCCCTGTGTGAGGGGGCTGGATTATTCTTGTTTTAGAGAGATATCCACAGCAAGAAGTGAGGCTCTTTTTTTTTTTTTTTTTTTATTTTTATCGGTACCAGGGATCGAACTCACAACTGCCTGCCTGCAAGGCAGGCACTTATGCCGCTGAGCTAAATCCTCAGCCCCAAGGAGTGAGGCTCTTGAACAGGTAACTGTTATCCCAGATTGGAAGTGTTGACTGTTGTTGCCATGGGACGTGATTTGATGTGCAAAAGAGACTTCTGGGAAAGCTGGTGAGGAAGGAGAGAGGAAGGGCCCAGTTGCATTTGGAGCATGCGAGATGTGAGGGAGCAAAAGTGAGCTTTTCTGTCACAAATATTTTTCCTATGTGCTAATGGCCTATTTGCACAAAGTCTTCCTATGCTGCCCTGAACATCTATGAAAGATGCTCAAGTCACAGCACAGAACTCGGTCTTGACCTTCTCCTTGAGCAGCGCCCCTAGGTGCTGAGGGAAGCAGGGTAGAGGAGGGTGTCCGTGCTGTCACTTTAGTGGGCACAGCACCCTGAGGAAGCCTGCAGTACACAAAGGGGCAGCCAGTCTTCATCGTGGCCCAGAGAAATGGCTGTGACAAGCCCTAAGTGAAGTCAAGAAGGGGCAGACTGGCACTGTCACCATGCTAGTGGGTAGGGGGAGGGACAGAGTCCTGGGAAGAGACATTAACTGAGAGCTCCAAGTGAGTTAAGCCAGTCAGAGCCGAACCCAGGTGTGACCTCAGGGCTGAGGGGGGCAGCAGCTCTGCAGCTCAGCTGGGAGGCAGAAGGGACTACTGCCTCGGGAGCTTGGAAGACACTGATACCTGCTGGCCAGGCCTAGAAAACAAGACATCCTCAAGACCCAAGTCAAGTGGATTTGCTGGAAAGAATTTGAAGCACACACTCGAAACTGCCTAGATTACCAAGAGCATATTTTTGATCAGTGTTGTTTTTAGGAGAACATAACACATAAAGCTGTGTATATTTTCCTCAGAAGACTTTTTCCTGAGCAATATTAGGAATCAGTGGACACTCGCGGTTTTTGACTACCACTGTGGAACGTAAGTCACAGGCCACTGAGCCCTCCTGGAAGGAGAGACAGGCCCAGGCAGGCAAGACCACACTGAGTGTGGGTAGAAGGCCTGTGTGCCTGGACATGGGCCTCAGTCAGGGCCTTGGACATCCCGAAAGGACAGCAGGGTGTGTTCCGATAACCGACACCGCATGAGAAGTGACTGAAGAACAAACTATCCAACAGACAGATGACCCAAGCCAATCCTGAAAATATTTAACTTGAAGTTTTGGGATGATTTTTTAAAAATAATGTTTTGGGTTATCATAAATCAGTATTTATAAACCAGTTAAGAGTGTATTTAGAATAGCTTTGTTTATATGATTAAATATGTTTCTGGTACATGTGTAGCTGTGGAAATTGTGTGTTTGGACTTGGACTTGCGATCTGTGGATGTTTCTGGGTACCTTTCACGTCCCCTCACTCTCTGAAGCAATGATCCTGTTTCCAGCTTCCCAGTGGACTAACAAGGCAGGGTGGACTACTGGAGAACTGAGGGGAGGTCCCCTATCAGAGTTCCTGGGAATACCTGTCCTTGGGCTTCCCCCTCGGCGCTTACATTCAGGGGCCATTGTTACATGGCTTTTTACCATGCCCAACACTTAGCCTAGTTTTAAGTCGGTTTAATGAGAACCAGTACTTTATCTTTTATTCAGTCCATGGCCACATATCCTTTGTCCCATGATCAAGAGAGTGGGTGGCAAATTCACCAGTGAGACTGAGGATGGCCTCAGGGCACAGCACCCACCACTGGCATCAAAGCCATCTCCCTCGAATCTGTGCGCCTGTGGCCCAGTCCCTTTGCTGTCTGCCCTCCACCCAGATCTAGGAGGAGCTGGGACTCGGCAACTCTGCCTCTGGGGAATGTTCTCTTTGCTGCCTCTGTTTGGCTGGGTTGCTGTATTTCTAAGTAATAGACACGAAAATTCCCTGCAGTCACTGTGGGGAGAGAATTCATTCCTTTGACAAACTCCAAATTCTTTCCAACAAATCCCCTTGACTTGGGTCTTCAGGATGTCTTGTTTTCTAGGCCTGGCCAGCAGTATCAGTGTCTTCCAAGCTCCCGAGGCAGTAGTCCCTTCTGCCTCCCAGCGGAGCTGCAAAGCTGCAGCAGTTTTAGGGGCCCAGGAGAAAGCTGAGCAGAAAGTAGAGTTCTCACACTTCCTGCGGCCCCAACACACAGCTCCCCATCAATGTTCTGAGCCAGGGTGGACCAATGCCACTGTGACTTTGTGCTGCTGCTTTCCCCGCTAGCTCCTCCTGGGAGCCCCGCGGTCTCCAGTGGCTTCTGTCCTGTTTCCCAGCATCCTCCCTGTTATGCTTCATTGCAGTGTAAGAAGTAACACGCTGCATGCTGCTGGCAGGAAAAAGCCTCATTCCCCCTACAGGCGAGTGTCCTGCATCCATGACCAACCGTGGCCCAGCCGCAGACAGGCTGTCTCTCACTGAGTAGCTCAGACTTGCCTAGCATATTCAGATTTCTGGAAATCATAGGAATATCTAAGCTACTTGGTAATTAAACCAAAAAGGATGTATTACTTTCATTAATAAAAGTGCAGCTGCTAAGGTAAATCACTAAAAGCATCAATAAAGAGGGACCCAAAGCTGGACATGGGGCACACACATTAATCCCAGTACTCAGCAGCCTGAAGCAGGAGGACTGAGCTTTCCAAAGGGAAGCCTGGACGATTTAGTGCGACCCTATTTCACATGTGCCTCAACCACCACATGGCTATGGCAGGTCTGGTATCCACTGCTGGGATGGCCAGGAGGCCCCTAATAGATTTGCAGTTCTGACCACACGGCCCTGGAGGGCCAGCTCAGTAAAGGCAGGGGACACAGCTAGTTTGATTGCTTCAGATTGTGATGGGCGAGCAGATGCAGGGAAGATGTTTACTAACCGAATCGCAGATCACAGAGAAGTTGCCGAGGTTATCCGCTTCCCAATTCTGAGACTCTATGGCTGGAAACTCGAAGGTGACTGCCTCTGAGAAAGGGACAGTCAACGTGCTGTTCTAGAAATCTGTGAACAGCAAAAGCCATGCTTCTTACTTAACATCGTGTGTGGTGGGGAAGGGAGGAGACAGAACGGGGAGAAGCGGAGGAGGAGAGCTTCTGGAATGATCCTTCGGGACGGCTCAATGCTGCCCCGCTACACTTGCCTCTTTGCCCAGGCGTGTAACAAGGCAGCGGGCTGACTGCCCCTCGTATCCCAAGATCTCACTTTACACAGGCCTTGGACATCAGGAGCACAGGAAAAAGCAGCCAGAGGCGGACATGGTGGAGCCGGCTGCAATCCCAGAACCTGGGGAGGCTGGCAAATTTGAGCTGCCCTGGCCTGGCAACTTAGTAAGCCCTTATCCCAAAATAAAATGTTACAAAAAGGCCTGAGGAAGGAGCTCAGTGCGAAGAACCCTGGTGCAGTTCTCACTGCCATTAAAAAAAAAAAGGAAGGGCTGTCTACAGGAGCAGTCTCAGATCATAACTATAAGGCCTGAGTGTAAGATCTGGAGGCCCTGCCTGAAGTAGGCGGACACTAGAATTAAGACCAGAAATTAGAAGACTGAACAGTCAGTAACTTGCAGTGAAATCTAGAATATGGAGAGGAGTAGCGGGTACTAGTGGGGTGAACCATCACATGTTCGGGACCAAAGCTAGCGGAGGTAGCTTTGGAGGTAAAGGGACACTGTCACAGAAGATGTATGTGCTGGCACACACCTGTAACCCCAGCACTGGGGAGACAGAGGCAAGAGGCTGGCCAGCCAGGGTGGGCTCCAGAGGGAGCCCCTGTGTCAACAAACACACACAAGTAATATGCACTTCAGAAAGAAAGAAAAGCAGCTCTTCTCATGGAAGTCAAAACGGAAAGGATGATTACATCCAGGAAAAAGAGAAAAGGCCTTTTTTGTTACAGAATAGCTTGGAAAAAATGGGTCAAAGTAGCAGGGCACTAAATAAAAAGTCAAATTTAGGGTATCTTAAAACAACCAACTTCTTCAATTAGAAAGCAACAAACATGCAAATGGCAAGTGTAGAAATTTATTTAAACCAATATTTTCACTATCATGAAAATTACTCAACATTGATCTAAGCTCCCACATCTGAAGGCGAGGGAAATATTGCACTTTGCAGTTTCTAGCACTCCTCATACACAGCAAAAGTCTCACAAACGCTTTGCTAGTTTTGTTTTTAGACACTCTCCCAAATTCATGCACACACTCATTCCAAATCAATGTTAGGTTATCCCAAAAAAGGGGAAAAACTCCAAAAACCATAACCTTAAAATTGCACTAAAGTTCTGTAAAGAAAAAATATAGTAAATGTCTTGTACAAATTTCAGAATGGTGACATGCTTGCCAAGAAGAGCCTGATTATTCTTCATCTTCGTTTTCATTCTCCTGACCGGAACCTTCGGATCGGTCACCCTCCAAGCGGTCTGCAAAATACAGGACGGTCACGAAGAGAAACACTTTTACAGCACTATGAGTAAACATCAACTTCAATGTTTTTATTTAAAATTGACTAAAATGTTTTGGTTTTTTTTTGGTTTTGGTACCAGGCATCAAACTTACGATCTTATGCTTACAGGGAGCGCTTATGCCACTGAGCTAAATCCCCAGCCCCCAACTGATTAAAATATTAAATAGTTCACAAAAATGTAAAATCGGGTCACCATTATATGTAGGTAAGTTTTTCTTTTGTCTGCAGAATACAAAAGAGAAAAGGCAGAGCACAATCAGGTATGGATATACATATAACCATTTGCAAAAAATTTGCTTTCTTAAGAAAAGAACAAATATAACATTTATTAGAAGGCAGACATTTGGTTTTAGAAGTTCATTTATTTCTCATTCATTCAGCAAACATTTACTGGGCAACTATTATATGTAGACACTGTTTTGGAAGCTAAAAATCCAGTTGCAAATAAGACAAATTAGGCCTCTGTGCTGGGGATGCAGCTCAGTGGTAGAGCACTTGCCTAGCATTAGCAAGGTCCTGGATTCAATTCTTGGCCTGGAGAAAGAAGATAAACTGGGTTTCTGTTCTTTATAAACTCACTTTTAGAGGAAAACAACAGACACAAAAGTTACGGTGCTGAATACCTGAGGGAAATAAAGCAACAGACAGTGATCAGGTAAGAGGGAGGGCGCACACCAAGCAGGGTGGTGTCAGTGGCCTGGAGACGGCTCGGGAGCCCAGTGAGCGGAACCCAGCATGCAGGGGGCAAGGTCTTCTGGACCCAGCACAGCAGTGCTAACAAGCTTTGTGAGGCCTGTGAGTAGGACAGGCTGACTGGGTCCGGGTCATCACGCAGGACCTTGCACAACAGATAAGTGGTCTGTTTCATTTTAACAGTAATGGTAGCCCTCGAGAATTTAAAAGCGGTGTGTGTGTGTGTGACAGAGACAGAGACACATACAGAAAGAGAGAGGGAGAAAGGGAGAGGGAGAGACAGAGAGACAGAAGAGAAAATCTATGTTTTCAAAAAGGGGTCACTAGCCCATAGTTTTGTTTTTTAAAAAACACTGCCAGCGCCACCCCACACATTCATTCCCACACTCTCTCTCGCAGGCCTAAGTAGGGGCAACAGAGACCAGGCAGAGGCAAAGCCTAAATTGTTTGCATTTGGCTTCTGCTTTCTTAACCTTTTTCTTTCATTTTTTTCACCTGGTACCAGGCACTGAAGCCAAGGAGTGCTGAGTTATATCTCCTGCTTTTTAACTTTAATTTTTAAGTTCTGAGACAGTCTCACTAAGTTGCCTACTCTAGCCTTGAACTCCTCTTCTGCTGCCTCACCCTCTCAAGTAGCTGTAGTTACAGGTGTGTGCCACCCCGCCTGATTACCATCTGGCTTTAAAAAGAAATTTACTGAGCCCTTTGATTGCTGTGTGAAAATGAGGCTGTAAAAAGTATAAATGAGACCAAAAAGTATAAATGAGACCAATTATCAGAGTACTCTGAAGAAAGCATCATTTGCTGATGTATCAAACTTGGTTAGTGGCAGGAACTTGTCTGATGCAGCCTCTGTAACCCGTTCATCACAAAGAAACTACACTTATCTAGATCTCCGCATGCCAAGGTCCAGGGCTATGAAGGGCAGAATGATCAAGAAATAATGGAGAAGTTTGTAAGATACGTTAGTTATGTTTGGACTCCATCCTGAGAACACGAAGAGGCACAGAAGAATTTTCAGGAGGGAAAACCCTGTTCAGATTCTAAAGTACCCTAGATGCCAGCTTCCAAGCCCTTCCTCTGCTTCCGTTGGCAGTAATATACTCAAGTCATTAACGTGAGCTTCTGGAGATCTCATCTCAAACTGGATGACCACTCTAGACTCGGCC